CCCCAAAACCCCAAAACCCCAAAACCCCAAAACCCCGAATAATTAAAAAATAATTGAAGATAGTTTTTGGGACCACTCCTTCATGCAATAAGCTAAAGAACTTTTGGGAGTACAACTTTAAAAGATGAGGAAATAGATCATTAATAACAAGAATTCTAGGGCAATCTTCTGACAGAGACTCTTCTGATCAAAGGTGCTGGGCATTGAGAAATTGACACTGAGTAGTGAATGTTGATGAATGCTCCTTCGATAGATTTGTACAGACTCATTACTCCTGACTACCATTAGAGAAGTCCCACCCTTTCATCGACCAGACTTGAGGAGAGAAGGCTTCTGTTATGCCTTGTTTGGCTTCCAATAGGCTCTTAATAAGAATTGTTATAGATGGAATCAACAGCTCCAACATTTTTTGTTGCTTTCTCTTGATTCTATCGAAATACTGAAGAGTTATTACAGTAGGTGATGAGAAACCTGTTAGAATGATAGTCGATAACACTTCTCTTCACTTGACCAAGAGAAATAGAAGAAGGCGAACATTATTGAAAATCCAAATGCTAAGTCTACCTCCATACTTATCTCATTTAGCTTCTGTGGAAGTAGTCTTTGGAATTACTCAAAGGTAGATATATACAGAAGAGCCTCAAAGAATAATAAATTTTACCAAATCCACAGAAAAGAAGCTTATATGAAAGAAGCCCCAAGAGATAGAAGCTTCTACTAGAATAAAGATTTTGTCAAGATTTGTCAAAGAAGCTATCGATATCATAATCAAAGCACGAAGCCAGGCTAAAATACCAGAAACATTTCAAAGTATGAACAATCAAGACTTAGTAAAGCGCACAAATGAAGAGACCAAAGCAAAGGATAATAACATCAATAATTTCGCTGCTAAGGTTGACTGACTCTCTATCAAGCACTAATCATTCTTTGTTGGTAAAATGTCTACCTCAATAATGATCTTCGAACTTCTTCATGACCAAAGCTTGATCTTTGATAATCCAATAACATAGATTAGCCTGAAGCGGGCTGTTTCGATCGGCCTCAACACTATCTGTAACTTGTAAGCTAAGGCCACTTCGTATGCAGCTCTGAGCAAATGGAACTAAGGGCTCAAACAATGAGTCATTTTCCTCTCTTGGTTTATAATATCGCCAAAAAGAAAGAAAGAGCCTTACTGTCTTGAGCCTACAATTTCGGGCTTGAAGATTCTTAGACCAGAGCTTTAGTTTCTTTGAAAATTCTATTAGAGCAATAGATTTATTCAAAATGACATTGTTGGATACTTTGATCTCTAAAACAGAAGAAAGAATGTTTCGGAGTACTTGCTCAACTGGTATTGTCTTCAGATTCTCCATAATTTGTGCTATCTTTAGTCAAGATCACTTTTGCTCTTCCAGCATCCAAGTATCTTCATTTCTTCAAACTGGATAACTTTCCCAAAAAGTGATTCCCTCTGAACCTCTAATTTCGATTATCTGACAGTCTTCTCCCACCTCAAATATTTTAGGAGGGACAAAATATTTTCAGCCTTCAAGTTCATAGACTTTGAATTCCTTTTGAAGCATCTTCGCTATTTTTTGCATATTGTTGAAAATTGAAGGTAGATAAGATTTTCTAAAATAATAATTAGGCCAATAGCCGAATCTTCTAAACGAAGCTGACACTTTTTGTGGTTACTGTCTGCATGTCAGCTTCTTTAAAAATGATATCTAGATACTTCTGATCAACTAGATGAAATTCAAAGACTTTGAATTCAAGTTGATACAACTTAGAAAACTCGCTCATCATGAATCGTTGAGTATCCAAGACACGTTCTTTGCTTGTTCAAAATTTCCTATTGAATGCAATCCAAATTTGTAAGGGCTTCTTTTTCAATATAAGTCTGACCTCATCGTCTTCACCAGGGTAGTTCCTCAGCAAAATATGTTTGTTCAACTCCCAAAGACTTCTGGAAGCACTTCTCAGCTGAATCATAAGCCCCCGGCATTCATCTGCATATCCATAGTAAGGCAGAATAACAGAAGCTAACGGCAGATTGGTCAGAAACTCTTTGGTTAATCTTGACGATTGAAGAGTTGTCTTCATCTGGGCAAAGTCCCAAACTGCGGGAGTTTCCATAATAATATCAATTATAAATTTTTAGTCTGGGGTTTTGGGGTTTTGGGGTTTTGGGGTTTTGGGGTTTTGGGG